TCAGCGGATGTGGTGTGAATCGCAGTCCCCGACTTTAAAATTCCATAGTCCACTTCCACATTTCTAACGCAAATACCGACATCGCTGAGACTTTCACCAGAGTTTCCTATTCTTCTGCATTCTTTGGAGGCTTGTTTATCTGACGGACGGAGGAAAAGTGCGATTGTTCAACGAACCTCACCGAGACGAATATTTGTTTTGTGTGAAATGCGTTGTAGTGGTTAACAGCCCAATGGAGTCTCTAGTGAGCATAACAAATAAATAATGTAAGCCAGAAACAAAGTCACAAGGGGAAAATCCGAGTAAATCTTGACTCACAGTTCAAAATAGAAGATTCCTTAGTTCTATATTCCGTTGAACCACCACACCAAGAATAGTTCCATCTTCCTGGTATTCCAGATCTCCTGAGATCGAAATATTAATCCACAAGTGTAAATATAATAGTCCAGCGTTTGTAGCTGAAATGTTTCTTCACGTTTATGGTTAGCAGCAGTCTATTATAGCCAACCGGCAGTCACAACCACCTTCACTCAGCAAAATTCTCAAAGTCACGTTGGACCACGAAGCGGGCGGTTGCGGTTGTATTTCAGTAAAACAAACTTTTGTACAGCGATGTGAATGATAATGATGGGGTAAAAGAAGATGATACTGAGCACGAAAAAGAGCAGTTTACAAGTGCTACACAACTCCCTCCCTAGAGCGTCAAATGGGTGAGGAAGACGCTCGAAAAGGGAACGCGTCACGACAGTTAGTCTTTCAAACGAACAGAAAGTTTGCAACGTCGACCAGATCTTGTGAGTGATGGTGCGTGTGTGTGGTATTGGTGGTGTCACTGGTCAGAGGGATCGTGTGACCGTGTGGATGTGTAACGGAGGGGGTCGTGGTATGCTCATTATCGGAGGTTGGTCGTGTGTGCATGTAAGCAACTTTTAATCGATCGATGCTAACCGTGTCTTTGCGGCCGTTACGATCAATGACAAAAGTTTTGTCTTTCCGTGAAATGACTCTGAAAGGCCCTTCGTATGGCGGTTGTAAGGGCTTTCTGA